TGTGCTTTGCTAAGTGTTAAAGCAGTGCCAAGCAGCACCCTGTACAGGGTCTCCAGCTGAAGGAACACAGCTGCCAATGCCCAGGACTCGGTGCTCGTCAGCCACAGGAGCAGCAGTGGCTGCTCTGACTCACCAACTCACTCCTCTGCCCATCACACAGGGGATCTCCATGACCTGCAGCAGTCCCAGAGGCCACGCTGCAGGAGAATGCATCTGCCCCACTTTTCCCCACCTGCACACCCTCCTGCCACCTGCAAGGTTCCCCTGCAGCCTTTGCTACACGTGGTTCACTCGCCTCTGACATGTTCTCCTCTTGCTCCAGTTAGCTTTATTTCCAACTAGCTCAGCCCTGGTGTTACTTATTGGTTTATTGTACCATCGCAGATACCCAGGACACAAACGTTCAGAAGAAACGCAATCCACCATTTTAATATCACAACAATAGAGATGGAGAAATCCAAGCACAGCAGAGCTGCAGGCACTGCCTTTCCTTCCAGCATCAAAGCCCACTGCTAATCCCATTGAAACGGGGATCACCCAGCCCCTCTCCTGTTTCTGTTGATCTCAGCTCCCTCCTCTTTCCATCAGCAATTCCAGAAAAACACAGAGATCCCACCCATGTGGCTGCTGCTGATAAAGTCAATAGGTGCGACGCATCGAAGGGAAAACAACAACAAAACACATCTGGGGAGTGAGGAACCATCTGCTGCATGCTCCAAGAGCACAGCCAACCTCCTGTCCCTCCCCACCCCGGGCACTGGGCAAAGCATACAGGCTGCAGGGATGCAGCGGGGTATGGCTGGCCAAGGGAAAAGGATGGGACCCTGTGGGTGGTGGTGGCAGTGCCATGCCAGGATGTGGCAGGGCTGTGTCGCTCACTGGGGCCAGTCAGCACTGCTGGAAAGGCTCTACATGGCCAGGGACTGCTGCTCCTCGGGGCTGTGCCAGCATCCCAGCTGCACGTGAAGCATCAGATGGTTTGGGTTTTTTTTGTGCCTGTGAAAACCTAAACTTAGCGAGCAAGATGTTAATTCCTGGGGAAAATAGGCCGTATTTATGTAACCGTGAAAAGCTGCAGTGAAAGCTGCAGATCCAATGAGAGAGAAGGAGATGTATGGGGCTAATACAGCACTGCTGTTCACTCTGCTTTGTCAGGACCTCTAGTGGGCACTTATCCATCACCCTACAGCCCAAAGGAGCAGGTCAGAGGCTGTGCAGCCCAAGAATAGAGGTCTCATTGTGTGTGCTACATCACAGCCCAGTCTGTCGGGGCTGAGAAGCACAGGGTGTGGAAGCCTGCTGCAAATGGCAGCATCTGTCTGTGCAGTGAGCAGCATGAGCTCCAGCCCAGCAGGGATGAAGAGTGCTGAATACAGGGTGAATTCATTCACAGCCATGCAGGATGGCATTAGTGCCTGGCCTCTGCTTGCAGAGACATCACCCATGGTGTGCTCACAACGCACCACAGTCCCTCGAGCATGAATATACCTTAACACCTCCCAGCTCCTACCATTGCCAGTCTGGTTCTATCTGATCTTGTGGACATTTACCTGAACGCAGCAGGAAACAATTTCCAGACAAATTGGTGAGATGAAGTTGTGACTGCCTTTAAGCAGAGTCCAAGCTAGAGGCAGCACTGCACGAAAGCATCAGCTGCAGAAGGTTCTGTTGTAGTTCTGTGTGATGGAAGGTCTGCTCCAGGAGAACACCACACCACAGGAGCACAATGGGCTGGAGGCTAAAGCAAACCTTAAGTGTTGTTTTCAAACAAATGGAGGCAGAAATGAATTTTTGAAACATACAAGGAAAAGCTTTGCCAAACTGATTAATCTCCTGAGGGAAAGCATAGCTTCTAAAGAAACTAAAACATCACATAATAGAACATGCTTTTGGGAAAGGACTCTTGAAATAACCTCTCTCTCTTGCCCCTGGGAACAACACAACGGGTAAAGAGTTTCCAGAGAAAGTCTTAAAAAAAAAAAAAAGAAAGAAAAAAGAAAAAAAAAAGGCCATTTACCCTTCTACAGCAGCAGCACGCACAGCCTCGAGGAAAGCCATCACCTTCTAACACCCTTTCCTAATCACATCTGAGAAGGATATAACAGCGTTCCTGCTGCTCTCTCATTTCCTTTGGCTGTCGCTCATTTCTCACTCAAACCAACCCACTGTGAGCAGCAACTCTGCAAAATGTGTTTTGGAGTCATCGACCGGCTTCATGGTGCACAACAACAGGGGACTTCCCATCTGCTGCTGTTTGTTTAGCCCTCACATTACTGAACTAACATCTGGAAAAGCTGCTGAGCCTCCACTTGAAGCGATGCACTTGGAGAGTGTTTCTTTGCCCTCTGTGGAAGATGGAGTGTTGCAGGTATCACTTGGAAAAGAACAAGAGATGCTTCATTTAGTGCCCAGATTTGCATTTAGGTGTCCTTGTGGCACAAGCTGAGACACAACACAGTCCAGCCAACTTGATCCTGAGAATGGGTTGCATGCCTGGAGAGCCATATGCTAGCTCTGACTAAGCAATTCAAGTCCTCTTTCAGATTTCTATCACTGCAACGCAGCCGGATCCTGAGCCACAGAATCATTAAGGTTGGAAAAGGGCACTAAGATCACCTAGCTCATGCTGTGAAGCAAGAGAAAGCCCATTCTCAGAAGCCATGGGTTGGGGAGATCCATGGCCAATAGCGCTAGGAAGGCAAACAACACAGCCCCAAGACCCAACACCAGGAGGGAGATGGGGCTGGTTCTAATATGTGAGGTTGGCTCTTACCTACTCCCTCCCCTGCCACCATTTGCCTCTCACCAGCCCTGCTCAGACTCCGAGACTGGGGATAGCATGATCCTTTAAGCCACCCCTCCAAGGGGTTACGCCATGTCCAAGGACCCAATGCCTAACTTCACTGCAGCCCAGCTCCCTAAAATCAGGAGGAAAAAAAAAAAAACTGGGCAGAAAAAAAACAAAACCTAAGACAAAGCAAGGTTACAGGATGGCTGCAGCAGAGAAAGAATCAAGAGGAAAGACATGAATACTGAAAATTCAGTAGGAAAGCATAACAGAAGGGTTGGGATTAGAGAAGTGCCTGCAGTCTCTGCATCTGACTATAGGCATCCAAACAAGGTGACCCAGAGAGACAAGGCTGTGCTTCAGGATTTTCCATCTACCACATCTGTGTCAAGATGCCCACTGATTGACACTACTTAAGCCACACATGCAGCAGCCCCATTGGAAAGCATCAACACCTACTGCACAAGGCAACCCTACACGTGCTGAGTGGCATGAAGAGATCACAACACATGCTTTGCTGTCTGCAGGTCTGTTCACAGCCCAGTGTGATGTTTTCTTTTTCACAACAGGACAAGTTTCGTTGACTCGTGTTTTGCTTGTGATCCAGTATAAACACCAGCTGTTCCTGCTGCTAGTCTATAGAGTTAATGCTGTCTATAGAGCTCCTATAGTGGATCAACATGCATTTACCTGTATTGCATGGCATCCTACTTTTTCCATGACCATCTCTCCATTCAAGGCTTGAATTCTGCCTCCCTCTCCCAGCAGCCTACATGTTCTCTCCACTACCCTATATGGGGAAATAGCTGGTTCCTCCATACATGCACCTACACTCTCTATTCACCACCCAAGATTGAAAGAAAGTTGGGCAAACACCCAAAAAAGCATTTGGATACAATCATCCAATCACTTGGTGCCCATTTCATCCAGAATCACACCAGACACAACTGTACCAAAAGGCTTCGCATATTGTCAAGTACTGCCTTCCCCAAAGCCACGGGACCTCTTTGTCTTGTCACATGGGATTACTTTGGTTTGAGATGACTTTCTCCTAAAAACCTCACATGCTTTACTTGTTGAGCACCTTTCCAGACTGCTTTTGTTTCAGATATTTTTTTTTCCTCCTGCAGATGATAATTAAACAGATCTGCAATTACCCAGGCCTTCTTTGTATTCTTTCTAGAGACAGGTACTACTTAAATCCAGGGCATTCAGGTGCCCCATTTTTGTCAAGAAACACCACAGACTGTTCTGAAATCACTTTAGCTCGCTCCTTAACAAAATCCCTGACACTCAGACAGCATGAGACCACCTGTTTTCCCAAGAACACCAGTGACATTTTTTCTGCATGTTAAGCAGAGATCTCACTGATAATTGTTACCACAGGCAGTGCTAGTCAGTGCTTCTTTCTCTTCAGCTTTTTAGAAGGGTCTGTAAGATAGAACAGGGGGAAATGGTTTCAAACTATAAGAGGGGAGATTTAGAGTGGATATAATGAAGTCAGTATAAACAATAAGGGCAGTGAGGCAATGGCACAGGTTGCCCAGAGAGATGGTAGTGCCCCATCCCTGCAGACAGCCAAGGTCAGGCTGGATGGGCTCTGAGCACTGATGCAGCTGTGGGTGTCCCTGCTCAGTGCAGGGCGTGGGACCAGATGGCCTTGAAGGGTCCCTTGCAACTCGAACAATTCTATGACACTGAGTAGGCACATGGATATAAAAGGGAAAATGCACGAGGATGTGTGATTTGCTCACTTTAAATGCTATAAATGACAAGGAATAAGGCTACATACACAAAAAGGGCAGGTGTAATTTGTATATAATCCAGGCTTCCCCACTATCAAAAAGCCATTTCAGAAGAAAAACATGTTCTATTAGGTTACCTTGCCTAGACTAAGAAATATTCTTGGAGAGGTACTTAAGTAAGATATTGGCTTTGATAATTCTATTACAAAACAGGTAAGTTGGACAGTAGCAAGAAGCTGTCAATAAATCCAGGAAAGTATGCATCTTTTTCCACATTTGCTTAAGGAGAGCCAATGCCTAGAAAGGAGATATGCAGAAGTGCAGGGAGCTGCTGAAAAGTAGAGCCTCCATAATTATCTGCCTGGTGCAGCCCCAGGGACCGCAGGAAGAAGGGAATCAGGAGCATACTTAGCTAACTGATGAGTCTGCACTTAACGGGTGCTTGTATTCGTTGTTATTTGTCTCACCTTCCCCAGATGCAATTAGCAGAGGCCTGCCAGGTGCTTTCTTCAAGTGGCTCCCAAAAGAGCATGAAATCCAGCAAGACATCTCCCAGCACAGCCATGGCTGAATTCGGTCCTAGGCATTTCTGTGGCAACTGTGCTAAAATTACATCCCACTCCTTAAAAGAGCTGTCTTTTTACTGGATGTCTTCTTTATACACGGATAAACATCTCCTGACAAGACAACAGAACAGATGACAAACAAGGAATCTACATTTTTAAGGGATACCAACAAAGAACTGTGGGCTTCATCTGCCATTATCTTCAAACTGCCAAGCAAACAAGCCAGATTCTCAGGGTTGACAGTGTTTTAGATCTATCACTCTCTAAATTGAGTTTAATATTTAAAAAAAATCTGATAGCACACTATGCTTGTTGTTCTGCAATCAACTCAACTATACATGCCCTTGTACCAACTATTCCCTGAAATGTTTTTATGCTGTTCAGTTGGCATCTGCTGTTCAGGGAGGAGTGAAGAGTTGCCCATAGCTTCTTAAGGTACTTCATGTAGTGGTTGGGTTTGGTTTTGTTTTGAATAGTAACTAAAGAAGCTTGTTTTTCACCCAGAAATTTCCTTGTATATTGCTGCAACATGGGGCAGGAAGTGGATACATCAAAATGTAACAAAGTTTGCAGGAGAAGAGTACAGGACACCTTCAACTCTACTCAGCACTGCAGCAAAATCAGAGGATATCAAGATTGAAGGAGAAAGCTGGAACTTATTAGAGGAAAATGGGACCAATGAAGGCTGAATATATCTGCCACAGAGTTCTGTGCTGCAAAATTGTGGCTGGCACAGCTGGTGACCGCATGTAAGCAGCATTTGTTAATTACATAAAACAATGCTGGGAGGAAAACAACAAACTAGAGCACGAGTCTAAAATAAGAGCCCAAATATTTAGAGGTGAAGTCAGGTGAAGTTTACAGAGGGGATTTCCATCTGGCAGCATTGACATGGCTGTCAGTTGGCTGTGCCTCTGCTGCTGCTGTTAGCACGTGGGCCAAAAGCACAGAGAGAGCACCGAGCATCCTCACGAGACTGCTGGCTATGCACAGAGACACCAGTGAGCAAGTGTGGTCAAAATATGCCATTGTTTTTCACCATCAGTTGTTTGCACAAGAGGAGAAAATAGAAAAGCTCACAATGGGGAGAATAAACTCACCTTGTCCTTTCACTCTTAGCATTACAGATGTTCTCTGGGGCTGCTTTTACTCACTGAATGCCATTTCAGTTTCACCTAACACCAGCCACGTCCCTCCCAGAGGGATGCAGTGCAGTGGGGCCATGCCTCCCTGTTGCTGTTGTTGGAAATTCGTTACAGGAATGTACAAAGCATCACCTGCTCACGTGCAGGAGCAGCAGGTTGACAGAAGAACCATCTCCAGGATTAGTTTTGTACGCTTGAGAAATGAGTTGACACTTGCACAGCACTGGGCATCCTTACAGAAGGTCTCAGCTGAGGTCCCCAGGCTCTCAAAGACACAGGCTGAAATCAAACACGGGTACCCAACCATCACAGGTTGGCCCACAGCAGCGAGACCTTGAGTAAGCCCTCATGCAGCACCTCTGCTGGTCATTCTGTTCCTAGCAAGGCCAGCAGCTCTGGGTATAGCAGCCAGAGGCCAGCACTGTACAGAACCAAATCAAGTAACATCTTCTCTGTGACAATGTTCACAGGACTGCTAGTAAATTCAAGCTGCTGTGTTGTAACCTACCTTCATTCACAAATCCAAGTAAAGATGGTCTGCATATATTCAGGGTCCATCTTTTCCACTGACCTGATCGTAGCAGAACTGCAGCAGCTCAGATGATACGTTTGGATGCATTTTTTCACTGTAGTTAATCGTAGCTATATCACACACTTCAAACTGCAGCAAGCCCTTAATATAGCAGTGGAAAAAAAAAAACAATAAAAATCAACATCATACCAAACAGCTTGCATATAAAAGACGGATGTTATGCCTTGGAGACAGCTTGCTCACACATTTTAACAAGTGCTTTCAACGTTCCAGGCAGCGTTACATTTTTGCCTAAGCTTCTTATAGTAGTTATCCTTTGAATGCTTGGTAATAATCCCAATTTAAAGAACTGGGACTTTTCAGATGCAAACAGCATTTGCCTTTGCAGTTCTTACCAAGAGACAAAATATCCCTTACTTGACAATTAAAAAAGCTGAGCACATTACATTCACGCTTACTATAAATAATGGTCTGGGGGAGTGAAGAACTTCTCAGAAAAACTGTTTTTTTTTACGCTTTCATGTCCTCAAAGGAGCCTCTGATAATCCCTACTTTAGAAACACAGATGACTCTTAAGCAAATTCTGTGTAAGTTCCATTTATTCTCACTTTCAGTAAAAAAGGTAAATAGCAAAACCACCATCCTCTAAAGAAGCAATCTGAGTATAACATCACCTTGTTCTGATCACTGCTTAAATGTTAAGGGAATTATCACTGCAATAACTCTCACAAGGTGGTGTGTAACATTTTGTTCTAACTCCCATATTTCCAGCTTGTTTCCAACCAAAGATGTGCAAAGCCAAGCTCAGACAAAACCAAACTGCTAGACAAACTTTATTTACAAAGGATACAAACTTCAGAACCGGTGCTCTGAAAGTGGCAGGACCACAGGCCCCAAAGACACATCATCTCCTGTTTGGTGAACATCACAAGGACAACTGCTGCAAATACCACGCCTCCTCCTCTCCCAGCTTTTAACGGGGAACACTCAAGTGCAACTCCCCATGACAAATTCTGTATGATCAGGTATCCTCCAGCACGACACAAGCTGTTGGATGCACTGAAGCTTTGTCAGGCTCTTTACCCAGCATGGCATTACTCTGCTGTAACAGTTCTCAGCTAGAGATTCAGTGATTATCAGGAACACTGCATCGTTTTCCAGAGAAGCTGGTACACTGCCTCCTTTAGATTTCAGGGAGGAGTTTGTGTGTGCAAACTGGAAAGTGGGAAATTAATAAATAACCATACCTTCAGATACAACACCCAAAGGCAACAGTCTCAATATCCTAAGCTAAAACGATGGGCATTTTTCTTTTCGCTTTCCAACTTCTCCCTCCCATTGACAACCCAAAGGTAAATTCCTATCAGGGGAGCTATCACATCTGTTCCCCATTCTGTTCTGAAACCGCAGTGGGATTATACTCCTCTGGTCCTCCCATAAGTTGATGTTTTTTCAAACTGAATTTTAGTATTTATAAGTTGGAAGCATCTCTGCTTTAACAGTTCAATTCACATCACTTGCTGCAAGTCAGTTTTTCTTCGCTTCTGTTTCTGCGGCAGGCCACGAAACGTGGATGTGATATGGCTCTAATTCTTCTGGAGTGACATAGTCTGGAGCACTGCCCATCAGGTCCCGTCCCCTGAATGATTTAGGAAAAGCAATGACATCTCGGATACTCGGAGAGCCAACGATGAGGGAGATGAGCCTGTCAAGTCCTAGAAGCAGAAAACAAATTGATGAATCACTTGAGCTACGGTCCTGTGCTAGTTTCTATGATTGAGAAAATCAGAAAGGTGGGAGTAGGTATACTGCCAGACTTAAAGAATAAAACTGAAGTAAGGGGAAAAAAGTTACCCTCAACCAGTAAAGAGAGAAACAGAGATGCCTAGACAGCAGATGAGCCTAGCAAAATAAAGCTTTTCAGTGTTACAAAAAATTCTGTGACATAACAAAGACTGCAAGACAGAGACAGTGTCTTTTCAAAAGCAGCATAACAATGCCAGGGCCACTAAGCAACAGGAACATTGTCAGGGCTCTGTTTAACTGCTCAAAGCTCTTGGTCAATCAGTTCTGAAGGACTAGAACAACCAGGAGGAATTCAGAAGGAGTAATAGCCTCTGAGTGATCAGATAAGGGAAAAATCACATTTGAAGACAGCAAGTTAAAGTGTTCTTCTGTTGCTGTTTGAACAGAAACCTGAAAGATTCTAGGAAAACAGACATTCCTGTAACACAGCTGTACGCAGTGCTGCAATGACTTCTCAAGATTCCATTCCACAGCAGCTTAAGCCAATCTAGATCAGTGCTGCTGCCTCCTCACACTCCCTGTGTCTCCTGAGATGTAATTTCTCCCTGTTGTGTACATTGCACTGCTGTGTACAGGTATCCACCAGGCCCGTGCTGAGACAGATCAGGAAGCTAACGTGACAGCATTCACTGTCAGTTTAAGTCTCTGAATGAATGAATGAAACAGAAGGCAGAAGGGAAGTGAGGCTGAAAGAAAGGCTGAGATTGTGGCAGTAACCCAGGGCATGAAGCAGTACCATACCATCCCATGCCTCCGGGGGTGCAATACAGAGATCCTGTACTGGCTGCACAGGAAGAAGAATTAAGATGACCCAGTGTTAATAAACACGCTGTTTGTAGAATAGTAGATAAGGACTGTCCTCAGATGCACTAACAGGTGATTCGGTCCTTGCAGAAGAACTAAAACACATTATGATGCTGGATAGGAATACCAAAACATTCAAGAGCTCTGGTCTCTTTCATAAAGTAGCCACAGAAATGGAAGCATGTTGGTTGTTACTTTTTAGCACCACCAAAACAGCCATCTCTCACGTCAGGAGAAGATAGGGCTTCTGCTAACAAATGAGGCTTATTCTCAAAATCCAATATACCAAAAGAAAGCCACAAGACACCTGCATTCTGGACAATTGCAAAGCACTCACCTAAAGCAATTCCTCCATGAGGGGGAGCTCCAAATTCCAGAGCCTCAAGCAGATGGGAAAGCACCTCTGAGTCTTCCTGCAAAGTTACATAAGAAACATTACTGAACAAACAATGCTCTTCCTATTGACAGCATAGGATCTGATGGAGTCATCCATCTCTAGGAGCTGTTTATCTGAGAAGGACACTCCTGTTTCTCCAGAATTTGGAGCACATATAAATGGAGCAGTCATTTAAAACTTTAAGAGGATGTTGGGAGACATCTGGAGGTGTTACCTTCAGCACTTTCTCCAGCACAAAACGCTGCTGTTGCGCATTATGAATTCTGATGGAGCCACCTCCAATTTCACTGCCATTCAGCACAAGGTCATAATGCTGGCTACGAACCTGGGAAAAGAAGCCAACAAGCACCTTAGAAAAGCTGGGACACAATGGCATTTACAAAGACATGCACATACAAAGATGCTGCAAACGAAGACATGATGTACTGCAACACTGCTCTCTCAACGCAGCCTTGTAATTCACAAACGAAGGAGGGTCCAAACACTGAGGATAAA